CTTTCGACAGTGTCTGTGGAAGTGTGAGCTGGAAAATACAGTTGCAATAATGGAAACACCCCCTAATAACCTTAAAAGCATTTTGGCCCGCAATCGTATCTATGATCGCGGCTGCACTACGCTCAATTGCATTATATGCCCTAAGGATAGGTGCGGAGACTGCATGGCGACGGGGGTCATCTATCTTATCAACTGCGCGAATTGCGGCGACCAGCACATAGGCGAGACAGCGCGGCCGCATATGTATTGTCCTCTGTTCCCTCCTCTCTGTGTTCGCATCAGAGAGCACTTAGACGGCAGGGATAGATCACAAATATCTACCCCACTAGGCACTCACAGGACGATGAAACACGCGCAGACAGATTTTAACGCAGTGAAAATCCTGGCACATGAATCACAGACATCGCCTAGTATACGTTTAAAGACTTTTTGGATTTATGCCAAAAGCCCTAAAATGAATGAAGGAAGAATGCCTATCCATGGGTAAAGGAAAACCTCAATTAGGCACCGCCTCCGCGAGCTCTGGTCCTTTCGTCCTAGTGTGTATCGTGTTGGGACCAGTAGACCGCGGAGGTGGTGCCTAATTGAGGTGTTCATTTCTCCATCCCCTATTCATTACTCGTGAGCTCGCTCCCTACCTGGGTCAAATCTTCTGACCCGGCGGTAAATAGCCGTACCATTAGCGTTTGACCATATACCTTTCGCTTTGGCATCAGAATTCCAACGGCAATTCAAAAGATGAGTGACTGGTCAGGCAGTTGCCTAACAGTCTACCTAAGCTAGAGTTTTGTTTGCATAGCTGCGGAGACGTCTGGTCGGATAGTCTGCAAGTCGTTCTGTCCATTAAGGCTCTGAAGAAGGCGAGTTGCCGAAACCAATAAACCCTTAACAATTTCGGGTCACGGCTCAGTGTCATAAAGCACAATATTAACACAATATCAGTACCATGCCGAGCTTCATAGTGAGTCGCACATTCCATTAACAAACTGTACGGCATAACGAAATAATTGCAACTGATCGTTATCAGAAAAAAACATGCGCAGATTCAAGATAAGAGGACATTTAGTAGAGTTCTGTCAGTTATCATCACCCGCAAATCCCATCGAGAAAGGTATACATATTTTTCAAGTCAGTATCCGATGCGAAATCTCCTCTTTTTAGCAGGTATGCCCCTACGCAATTCTTCCATGAGTTCAGTATAACTCGCTTAGACTAAGTCTGTTGTAGTAAAAGGCATAGGCAGCGAAATTTGCGCGTTCACGACTTATAATAGCAACAAGGTTCTTCTATTCTTCTCCATTCAAGATGTTGCTTTTCTGTAACGAATAAGAGAGAAGGAAACGTATTTATAAGCACAAAAGAAAGGCCCTTTAACTTTTAACCTGAATGTCGAAATTGGGTGTTACGCGACACTTTGAGAAAAGAAAACATCTAGAATGTGATCATCTAGATTGTGAATGAAAAAACATCTAGAATGTTTTTTTTTTCAATCTCATTGTCTTGACCGTACTAGCAAGGTATTCAGAGAGCAGTCTACTACGGTATCAAGGCTCATTAGAAGCGAAGATTTTACATGCTGGATGTCGTTTTTTGACGGGAACAAAAAGAAAATCGTAAAACTTTGAAGGGGGAAACTTTCTGTGGACCTGACGCAAGCGCAATTCTTACTCCTAGTAAGCCCGATTGACTATGAAGGCATTTACCAGTGAGAGATCCGGTAAGAGGCAAACGTTGAAGGTCTCGTTAGCCGTGGAGCGCCCTAGCGCAACCCGTTGGCTATAACAGGCAGCCAGCTGATGAGGCCCTAGTTTTCACATGCTTTTGCTCTCGCATCGTTTTTGATGTCTTTGATCAATAAAGTCTCATTTTCATCATTTCTGATCCAAACTGGCGCTTGATAGCTTTTGGTTTGCGTTTGTCGAGTCAAAGTGTAACTGGTTGTGTTCTCAAAATATTGTCATTTTTCAATCCTCGCTCCCGCAAACAAATCTGCAAGAAAGAAGGAGAAGCTGTACTTGCTTGATAGACGAATTGACGGAGAATGCGACTCAACAAATACTGCTCGACATGTGTTCTTACAAGCATGTTATCTTCGTGGCAAAAGGGGTCTGAGGATGGAAAGAATATTGTACCATGGCTTAGTTGCTTCAATAGGGGAACTTTAAAGCATGGGCCTATATGCCATGCAGAATCGAGGGACAGCCTTGCACATTCTGCGGTAGTGGTACGTGGCAGCTAGAGCTGGTTTAAATTGATTTTTTTTCGCATCTTCACTTCTTTTTTCGTTTTGTCGAACTGTTATTCGTCCAAGTCATAGTTCAGCATTTCTACGCAAAGTCTTGTTTACTCTTTTTTGACTGTGCTTAGCACTTTTTCGTTACTCGCACATGCTTATTCTGCTGCACTTAGAGCATTCTCTTTGGGCATTCTCTCTGGTATTACGAATCCGGTGAACACCGTGTTCAACAATTCGGTCAAAACTACTTCCATATCTTTGATTTGTTCGACGAAACGAAACGTTCCAACATACAAATCTAGTGAAGTCATATGACACTGTCATGGGTAGCGCACCTCTCACTGCATCTACTTCTCAATTCGTGTTGGTTTAGTGCTTTTTTTTCATATGCGTGGCTATTGTAACTGCTCTTGAAAATATTTGTGTTCAATATTCTCAGGCTTTCGAAGGTGCTCCTTTTGTTTGTGATCGTTGTTGAAGGTGCCTGGTCGATGAATCATCTTTACGAACCTTTTCCTTCACAGCTGTGGAATCTGTTCGCAAAAGAGAGCTTTTTGATCAAAAGCGTAGCTAATTTTGTGCTCTCGAAAATCATTTGTTCCATATTCTCGTGCACTCAGTAGTGCATTTCCTTTGTTTGTAATTGTTGTGGAAGGTGCTTTGGTTAATGCATCCTAACGAGTCTGCTTCGATAGACAGTTGTAGGGTTTATCCTCAAAGAACTTAGTTGACAATGAAAAAGTTATTCAACTAGTGGTTTTTGCTCAGAATATTTCTTTGGTTTTGATCGATTATGGAACATTAGCGAATTTGTCTCCTGATAAAAAAGGAAAATGGCCAACATCAGATAGCTTGCCAACTACCAACTACCAACCATCGATTTTCATTAACGGGAGAAGCAAGAAATAAGTTAAAATCTATTTCAATACTTTCCGATTTCAACTGGTTATCCTCCACTACACTTTCTGATGTACTAACAAAAGTCTTGGAATTTGGAAACCTCGCTGTTGTGAAGAACTGATCTAGTTTGGAAATGAAGGCTTAGGTAACGCGCGCCTTTCGACATACACCCGTGTCTGCAATGCGGTTTCGCGACTCCTAGTCATAGAATAGATGATATGTTACAAACACAATCAATGCATGAAATTGGGTGCACACATTCCCAACATGTTAAGACATGATCTTTACGCACAAAAAAGATAAACAATCAGTTTGTTTCAACGATTAAGTAATATTAAGCCTTCAAATTTGTTTTATAGCTTCGCGACGAAACGAATAGTGTGTGAACAAAAGGAGTAATGAGTGCTTTCTATTTGAGGTTGCTGCCGCGCAAACTGGAAGCGCTCTGAGCTTTCGCAGGACCAAACAAAGTTTTCCCCTTCTTTACATAATTTTTTCAAAAATTCTCATATTGAAGGCACCGTCCACTTTATTTAGGGATCTTGAGCTTTGGCAGCATACGATAGTAAAAGGATCTCCTATCAAACCATGCCCAAGTCGCATCGCAAGATGCCACACTGGCAGCGAGCCTTTCGGAATAACGAAGAGGCACGAGACGGCTAGGCAGCACCGCCCTCTCCAGTGTTGTCCACCCACATCCAAACAACGTTCCAAAGAACCGGGCTGGGCGTTCTCCGGAACAGCATTTGCCGGGATTCTCCACTTCATATTCGGACAGGGGTATGAGAAGACCCCAGAACGACCAAAACCTGGAATTCGAGCATTTATGAAACGGTGCCTTCAACCTTTAGTCCAAGCTCTACCTATAGGTACTCACTTTCAGCCATCTTTCGATCCGCCTGCCTTGCTACGGCCTTTGATTATCATAAATTCACTCATCATTCGCTGAATGTTATAAGTCGAGCTACTCGTAAATTCCGCAATGTCAACTAGACTTCTTTCCAAAATTCTAAAATGCTACCTCGTGCTGGGCCCTGTACTATATCCAGTGATGATTAGTTATACGGAAATCGAAGCAGCAGGACTCCTACGTCGATTACGTCAAGAGATCATAACTTGCTTATGACTGCATCTCCCACAACATCTGCTAAACAATGTAATCTGACAATATTACTTCTTCAGCCATCGTTCGGCAGTTTTACAGTAATGTTGGCGTGAAATATATTGTAGTCGGTGTAATTGCACAAGGATTGTTACTTATTTCCAACTTTAGCGCGTCATGCCGAACGATGGCTGAAAAAGTGTTTTTTATCCTATTTTTCTTTTGCGCATCTACTCCAACAAACAGTTGGATAAAAATCCGATTGTGATATACTGTTCTTATTTCCAGTCGCTGTCTCGCCTTGCTTAGTCGCACGAATGAAGCTGACACTAATCTGGTAAGCTTCTAAAGGTCAAAATGATGTGAATTTGCCTGTTTTTTAGTGTTTTAATTGTTTTTTCTCCGCTTTGAATGCTAGGTATGCTTTCGATACTTTCGATAGAGAGCCACTAGTATGAGCGTTATCGACTTCAAATATTAATTTCTATTGCAGAGTCTTGGGAGAGGTTGTCAGGCGATGTACTTAAATCCTACGGGTTTGAGACCTGAGATAGCGTACTTCAACATGTTACTGGTCAAAAAGAAGATCTCTCTATCAAAGTTGTTGTTTTGCTATTTTTCAAGCGCATATGCTTTTCAACCGATTGAAGCCTGGTTCTACCTCTACAGAATGACTTGTGAGTTATACACCAGTGACTTTTATGTATAATTCATCAATACTACCAAATTTTGGTGACAAAACTTATCAAAAATGACGTTGGAATGCCTTTGAAGCGAATTGAGAAATATGCGCGGGTGCGAAATGGTTATTCGCCAGTGAAGAGTGTCAAGAAAATCCCTGTTACATACAGGTCTGTTTACCACACGATAATGTTGTTTTTGTTGTGATCATCCTAAATTCAGAGATCTGATGGAACTGTTTTTATCTGCTAAGGTTTCAACTATCTCTATCTTCTATTTGCTGATAATCAAAAAGATTTGTTCCCATTGGACAAATGGGTATACAACACCGAAGCTCTCCTCTACCAATTGATCATTAGCATATGCCCCTGACTATAGAGATGAGTACGGAAGTAGCTCTGTCCCTGCTAATCAGATCTTGAGAGCTGCCAGCAGGCCGCCGAAGATGCCATCTCAGTTTGGTTGAGCCAGTTCAGAGCTCATAATCGATTGACCTCATTGTGAGAGAGATCATGCTCAAGAGACTCATTCTTCATCAATCAATATGAAATCACTGACATTAGCTCTAGTTACCCTTAGACCCCGGACAGAGTTAACGCGATTTGATCGCCGCGATTTAGCCGCGACAAGACAATTGATACGAGGTCATTGCATGCCGACAAGCTTGCATTTCGGTTGTGATACTTTTCCAGCCCGAATTTTGACTGTAAAATGAAAATGAATGGAAAACACGGCGACGATTAAATCACGTGAAATCTGACCGGGGCTTTAGGGTTATTTGCAAACACATTCATTTTCAGCTGCTCCTGCCTATTCGCCTTACAATATCTGTATGTATCTAAATAGAACTATGAGTTTTTTATTGTTATTTACCAACTTTTTTGACTTCTAGTCATTCACTTGATGACTTTGATGAAACTTTGATGGATTTCTCATACTGTGATTCAATGTCCTCTTTCTGTAGGAGAACTGTGGTGCTTTTACTGCAGATATGCATCTATGTCAATTGTGAAGCGTCTTTTGAATCGTGTTGTTTTCCGTCCTACCTTTTGAATTCGCATTTACTCAAAGCAGTTCGATAAATCATGCGAATGTGATATAGCTATACTTATTTCCAGTCGCAGTCGTACTGCGAAAGCCAAGCAAGGCGAGACTGCGACTACAAATAAGTATAGCTATATCACAATTTATCGAACTGCTTGTTTGAGTCCAAGCTGACAGTAACTGAAAACAGCACTCGATAGGCTATTGCATATTTTTCATTCGCATTCAATTGTCGCCATTGCATTTGTTTACCAGATAACCTTTTCCACCTTCAAAAGGTAGTGCACATTTTTTGGTTTCAAACGTGACTATATTTTGATGTTTAGCTGCAAATGCTGGATCCAAGCAAAGAAAATGCCGGCGAAAGCAATGGAGCAAGTCTCAAGCAGTCTGTTGACGCTGGTGATGATTTCAAAAATGATATTCTGTTACAGTGGAGTCTGTCCGGAGTGTAGCAAGCACCTAGGAAAGAATTTATCTGCGCCCCTGTTTGATGTACATAGTTACACTAAAGAGGAGATAGCAAATCTACAAGCAGCAAAACGACGAAAAATACTTGGAGAACAGAATTATTTGTGTGATAGTTGCGAAACTACATTCGCCACGAAAAAAATTTGCTAGAGCATAATAAAATGGAACACGCATCCCGAAGAAAAATCTCATGTCCCTTATGTGGAACTTCAATAGATGTAAGTTTTCCACTCGTGCTCATTTTTCGTTACGAGAAGTCATTTTTAGGACCACCACGACCTTGTAATACATGCAAACGCAGTGCACGCTTCAGGAGACCAACAATGTGGAAACCATCAGCTTTAACAGCAAATCTGCTTTTCAAGTAAGCATACCATTCGTGGATGTATTTTTCCCATGTTTTTATGTTCCAATGGCCACGTTGTCATTGATTTTTATTTTTTGTGTATTGTGTCTTTTATTGTTTGATTATCTAATTCGTTTCTATTTCCAGGACTGGAAGCATGCTCTAAAAGAGGAAGAGACTACTAAGTATGCTGTCCATTCGAAGAAGAAAGGAACAGATGGAGACATTACATACATGCGATGCAGTAGAGCCGAGCCTGGCCCATCTTACATAGAGAAGTGCTCAAATTCAAAAAAAAACGGTCTTGTATTGCACAGCTTATATGAAGGTAAATTTTCCGCTTTCTTCTTCTTCGGGGTACCACTTCAGTGAATAGGTGACGGAAAATGATCGGACTATCAACGTAGAATTCTGCGCACGCATTGCGGCCATGAGCCCAATGCTGCACTGCTGACAATGGACGCCAGTGCTGAGAAACAAATGCTCTCCTACCTAAGAAATGGATTCACGTATAAGCAAGTGCTAAGTCAAATCCGGGAGAGATGACGAAATTCAAACAATTTGAGTTGCCGGTTGTATTTCACTACATCGCGAGACGTGCAGTTGGTAACTATAACATAAGATATAGTAACGAGATAAAAGCAAGTGGGTTTTAGAAGGATTGCATTGAAACACAATCTAGATCCAGCTCGTAGACATAGTATCGACATTTTGTCGCTTAAAATGCGCATCGGAAAACACAACCCCGACGATGGGATACGGCATTATACAGCAGCAACAGATGCAAGCGGCGATAACTTCTCTCTTGGTGAAGACCATATAATACCAATAATTTTTTCAAAATTTACCGTGCAGTAATTGTGACGCCGATACAAAAATTTTGGTTGGAAAGCTACGCAAAACGCGCATTGTTGATGGATGATACTTTTAACCTTACACCGTACTCACTGCGACTGGCTTCCGTAGTGGTCCCAGACGAATGGGACATGGGCCTCCCGGCGGCATTCCTTTTATCATACAGGTAGGCTCTTTTTCAACGTCGCCATAACTAGGAAATCATTTTTGGGATGACTGAAAACGAAATTCGGTTACTCTTTCAAGAGATCGTTAAACTTTTGCCCAATTTCGACACCAAATGTTTCATGAGCGACGACGCGAACTGTTTCTATAACGGCTTTCTGGAAGTTTTCCCTCAATCATCGGCCAATAAGTTGCTTTGCAAATTTCAAGTCTTGCAAAGCGTCAACCGATACTGTAAAAATCTTAAGAAGGTATGCTAACTATCGAAGTTAAAGCCTAACCGGTCTTATTTTCAGACGAGCCTGACTCCCATGATTCTGAGTAAAATGTCAGAGCTCTGCGGAACACGGGATGCCGATACTTTTGAACGCAAATACGCTTTATTCTTACTCCAACTCCGTGAAAATGGCGAAGACGCAATTGTGCAATATTTTGAAAGAAATTGGTAGGCACGCATCCATAAATTCACCTGTAGTTTGCGCGTCTAGGAGCTCACGTGCGTCTGAATGAGGTGGGTTCGGAAGAGAAAATTCAAGCGTCAAAACATCAATGCTAATCGAGCGCTTCCATCGCAGAATTAAACACGAAATCATCCAAACGAAATCTAGTGTACGCGTCGACTCCTTAGTGGATCTGCTGATAAATATTGTGTCCGCCATGGAAGAGGGCAAGCGAATAAAGGTAACTATCACTTAAGCTCATCGAGACACCGTGAGTCTATTTCAGATGGCAAGGGGCCTTCGAGAAGGCTGCCATAGGCTTTCCGGACAGCACAGAAGGCACAACAACGGCATCAGGTTGTTTTGTGACGACGGCATAACATCAGAAATAGAGAGTGTTGGAAAGTGGTTGATTCATGACAGGGAGCGTACATACCGCATCGAAGAAAAAGAAAACTCATGCACCTGTGACAAAATTGTGAGTTAAGAGGGATTTTCTCAGCAAATGGTAAAGAAGATTTTTCAGCTGAACAACCACTGTTACAAATGTGGCGCATGTGGGTATTCATTCAGATGCAGTTGTCTAGATGATAGTACCGTAGGAGTATCCTGCATTCATGCGCATATCGCTTTAACTTACAGTGGTCAAGGTGCAGAAACGGTCTTTCCTTGTGAAACGTTCTATTTCAAATACTTCTAGGACGGAGGGAATACGAAGGACTGGAATCCAATGATCGTATGGCTGAAACGGCAACAATACCAGCGCTAGGAATTTTGGAACCAGAAGTTGAAACTTTGACGGCGGCAGAGGTCGAAACTTTGATGTCACCTCCGCAAGCAAGTTCGGAAGCAGAAGTCGAGGGCGTATCGATGTCTATGACGGAGATTGCAGATACATGCAAAAAATTAACTCATACAATCAATGCCGTACGTTGCATATTATTCGGATAACCATTTGCTTTTGATTGCATTTCAGGAAATGGCTTCTATCCGTTTGAAGGTGCTCGCAATCTCAGACAATCGCTGGGGGCAGGCGGGCACCGGAAAAATAGATTGCTGATTTCTCGCACCCCGCTCGCGGATTTTTTGCAAAGCAATCAAAACTTTTCGGAAGACCGCTTGCTGAGACAGCGGATTTTTGAGAGACCGCCTGCTGAATTTTTTTCGCTCTTATCTTTTGCAGATATATTGCTGAATCTCTGAGGAATCGAGAACTCAGCAAGCGGTCTTCCGAAAAGTCCTGATTGCCTTCCAAAAAATCCGCAAGCGGGGTGCGAGAGATCAGCAATCTATTTTTCCGGTGCCCGCCTGCCCCCGGCGATTGTCTGAGATGTTGAACAACACCGACGAAGGAGTCCTGGCGCAACTGATGTCGATAAAGGAACAACTACAACAAATCAATTCCAATATAAGGTGCGAGAAGAACACTCTTGCCAGAAGACGTTTAGATGCTAATGCAACTGGAAGGGTCCCGAAATTTAGAGGGATAAGATTAGTCAGAGTGAGTTTTATGTACATAAAGTCAACCAAAATGATATTTCTATTACAGAGGGCGGCGGCTCGCTACAACAAAATCTATCAGCGGCTCACTTACCAAACGGATTTGTTACTCTAGTTTTTTCACAACAGGATTTTATCGTGCCATTTTCATCACTTCCAAAGTGTTCACTACTCAAAACCCCGTGATGTCTGTCTTTCAGTTGTAGATTCTTTCATTTCATAAAGCCAGCTCACTACTTACCCTATTTTTTCTAGAAATGAAATGTATTAGGGTGAACGGTAAGAAATGGGACACCTACGAAATAACTGGAGGTTTCTCAAGAATGAGAAGCGATTAGACATTCCAGTTTTGATAGATGTTAGAATATTTTATTCTCTTTCAGATAATACCTATATAAGGTCATTTACATAATTAATAATTTTTATACTTGCTGAAATGCAAAGTTAGTCATTTCGATGAATTATGAAGTTTGAGCAGTATCTGCGCAGTGAAACATGTGAGACCACCCAAAGTACCGCTGCTGGAGTGGATGGTGGGACAGTCACCAAATCCACGACGGCTTGGTGGCCTCAACTTCCAAAGTCAGGAGATATGGCCATTAGCAGCTTCGAAAACGAAGATACGTGTTATCCAATTCCTTCCAGGTGAACGCACGTTTTCTAGGTACCATCTGATAGAGCTTTTTACGCTCTGTCTATCCATGTGCAGCTTGCCTCAGATTTTATCCATTTTCGGAAAATATAGGGCAAAACATAATTTTTTGGTTCTTATTGCGCCAAAAATAGCTATTTTTCAGGTTTTTTCGCAATTTTTCCTGAAATTGAAAAGAAATCTTAGGCATTTAACATATCTTTTAAAAGAGCATGAAAAGCTCTTTCGAATGGTATGTCATTTGCTTTACGACTTTACGGTATAGCAGTGCAAGATTGAGAATTGTTTAAAAAATCCCGTCGGAGTTCTTCACGACGCCACGCGTACGGTCATGAGAGAGGAGCGGTAACGCGTTGCCAGAATAATAGGCGAAGGTCGGTTATGTAAGAGACGTTTGAGTTGCAGCCTGCTTGTTATTGGTGAGGACAAAAAATCTTAAAATGTAATAAAAATCAAGCTGTCCCATTTTTTACCGTTCACCCTAATAGATGTCTTTCAGCTAGCCTTGTCTTTGCTTTATTAACCTCAATGTAAAGGAGTGTTGAAACACAGTGATAGACGTGAAACGTAGTCTATATAAAACACTAGCTGGCTTACCCGGCTCCGCCGTATCCGGACCAAACTTGGCACACATACACTTCGGGCCCCGGCGGGTGTCACAGTCCACTTTTCGTTATTGATCGATGTCGATTTTACCGATTTTTATCGATTTTTTGCAGAGTTCACCTACAGGGCTAGGAGTTGGCACAGGGGGGGGAAGTGAGCATGGGGATTCCGAATACAATATTAGTTTTCAGAATTATCTATTACTTTTATTGATTTTATCGATTTTTGTAAATTTTGACATGCGAGGCTGGGATTTTGCACAGGGGGGTAATCGAGCATGCTGATTACGAACACAATGTTAGTTTTCAGGATCGTCCATTACTTATCGATTTTATCGATTTTTTGTAAAGTTTGACCTGCGGGGCTGGGAGTTTGCACAGAGGGGATAATCGAGCATGCAGATTACGAATACAGTATTAGTTTTCAAGATCGTCCATTACTTTTATCGATTTTATCGATTTTTTGAAAATTTGAGCTAGGGGGCTGGAATTTGGCACAGGGGTGTAATCGAGCATGCTGATCACCCCCCTTGGGATGATCAGCATGCTCGATTACCCCCCTGTGCCAACTCCCAGCCCCCTAGCTCAAACTTTGCAAAAAAATCGATAAAATCGATAAAAGTAATCGATAATCCCGAAAACCAATATTGTATTCGGAATCCCCATGCTCGAATACCCCCCTATGCGAACTCCCAGCCCCGTAGCTCAAACTTTGCAAAAAAATCGATAAAATCAATAAGAGTAATCGATAATCCTGAAAACCAATATTGTATTCGGAATCCCCATGCTCGATTACCCCCCTGTGCCAACTCCCAGCCCCGTAGGTGAACTCAGCAAAAAAATCGATAAAAATCGATAAAATCGATATCGATCGATGACGAAAAGTAGCCTATGACACCCGCCGGGGCCCGTAGTGTATGTGTGCCAAGTTTGGTCCGGATCGGTTCAGAAATGGAATTTTCTATTCGGAACATACGTACAGACAGACAGACATACAGACATACAGACAAACAGACATTCAGCTTTATATATAAGATGAGAGGGTCTCTGTTAGAGCAATCGCATGAAAGCAGTGCCTATCGCTATCCTCCACTGCTATTTGCTTTTCCTTCATAGATAAAGTCTCCATCACACTCCTCATAGCTTATTCATTTCTGTAGCTCGATCGCTTTGGCAGATTTACATCAACACTAAGTGAAGAAGGATGTGTCAAATTAAATTAAAGTAATAAAGATTCCAAAGTTATTATGCGAAAAATGTGTGAAGCCTACTATTAGTTTCTAATTTAATCACCATAAGTCATTACTACCTCTGATAAGGGTGACGGCAGTTTCCGCGCTTTAGACTAGGACAAGTATGATGGTCTCCACGATTCGTGTAGAGGTGTATTGCAGACTTTGCCTGATAATAGAGGTAAACTTGTTGAACCTCCACGTCATAGCATTGTTTTTTGTACTCTCTCGCTATCAAAAACCGCCACGCTTTGAGTTGGCAAAACCCCGCCTCTACACGAATCGTGGACCCGATGATATGTAGTGTCGGAATGAATTTGTGGGTTTTGAGATGCTACTTTACATGTTGGACTCGTCTGCGCGATTATTGTCATTATGGCGACTATCAGGCCATGAAAAGCCCAAAAACCAACTCAAATTCGCATTTATTCCAATGTACAGAGACGCGCGGAGTAGTATAGGCTATCTCATTGAGAGAGTCATAACTCCAGCGCCTCAACTCCGCGTCCCCCCCCCCTCCGCTCTGGCCTTGCGCCGCGTTCGCAAACATATCTTGCAGTACTTGCCAGTACTTGAGCCAGTACTTGTCCAGCTGATCTCGCAAAGGGCGACTTCTTCTTCACTAGTGATTCGCTGCAAGTCATGGTCATGGGAACCCAACGTGAAGCCGTTTTGCTTAGCTTGATAAGATAAGCAAAAATTGAGAGAATATTTGCATAGTATCTTTGGAAATAAGTAAAAAAGAAAAGTTATGCACACTCTCCAAGAGTACAAGCAAATTGATGGCTTCAAGAAAAACTGCAATATTGTGAAAACCTAACAAAACAAAACCAAAACACAAAACACAACTGTTCATATTATCATTGGCCTCTTAATGATTTTCTTGAGAGAGCCGTTCCATCAATGGCCAGCAGCATGACCACTACAAAAATAAGTTAAGCTGACGAATTACGAAGACTGCAAGTCCCTCACCTAGTAAGAAATGGTCTTACAGCCAGTTTTGACAGCTTGTTCAACGGTTGTTCTCCAGTCCACGGTACGTCTTCATCTTTAGTTTCCTTTTTTTTTCCATAACGAGGAAGGGGTTAGATATCTAAATAACCATAGTGTGAGCAACCTACTGCTAGCAACACAGCAAAATTCTTAAACGATCAAAACCTTGAGAGTGCAAGGTAATAATGCCAGCGAAAAGAAAGTTCTGAAAACCCTTAGAATGTAAACTTTAAACATTCTTGCGCAAAACCTTCTTATTTGAGAATGGAGCTTGAGACAGATTGGGCACCAAGTACATCTTCTAAGTAGACTTATGGGTCCTAATTTGCATAAATTAAACAAAAAAGTAGCCCTCGTACAAAAATCTATTTTGATCTTTAGCGCTGTGACAGAAATCACTCGCCCTCCTCTACAAATGGAAAAAGAGGCGTGAAATGCAAATGGGAGGACAAATACTCTAGAAAGTTCTCAAAGGAATCATATATGGTAATACATACCGATATCGTCTATTTTGCAAGATGCGAATACTTTGATGCGAAGCGTCAATCTGTAACATTCCGTGCAGCTGTGATGCTGTAAAATGTGGTGCTCACTCAGAGCAATGGGTCGTGCGGGCGGGCTGCGAAGTAGCCCTTCCGTGCGTGCGGGCAGCCTAATTATAAGGGTCATTCGAGCCCCCGTGCGAGCGCGCCGCATGAGTTTAGGCATGCAAGCGGGCGACCAGGTCTTTTCTGCGGCAGCGCGTAAAGGAACGCTGCCCAGACGCGCAATTACGGACTGTTTCAAAAAGAAAAGGCACGGTAATTGATGCGCAGATCTTCTTAACTTTCTCCTTTGAGATTGTTTTATAACTAAAGCTTCTATACTTGAATCTTCTCTAGCTTATGTAGGACTTCTCTTATGCTGTATTTGTCATCGTTTTGAATGCTATGCTGCAATAGTTTTATCGCCCTCCCATGCGTATTTCTTTTTCAATATTGATGCTAGAGCATTCTGGGATACTATGACCCCGTCTTTTTCCATGGTATTTTTGTTTGTTTGATTTTTGTCATCCGTGTCACTCATTGATTGACCTTTGCCATAACTGACATTTACCATAGAGACTTCGCACCTCATTTCGATGTGTGACATTCTGCCTATGCTCACTTGTGATGATCCGACGCTTTCTATAAATGGAACCCATAACATCGATTGCCATGAACACTCAATTGAATTTTCTACTACCTCAAGTTTCTATTGGACTACACGACAAGGTATGGTTCCTTGACTCGCTTGCCTTGATAATATGCCCAATTCTTTCAGCGGATACGAAGGATAGGTGACGACGTTTTATTCGAAGTGGTCCTACGACATTAATCAGAAAACCCTTCATTTCTAGATCCTCAAGGATGTCTTTATTGGATCACACAACGAGGTATGATAGCAATCTTATTTGTTCTAATGAAATGCGCAATTACTTTCAGCAAAATACAAATGGATAAAGGCTGAAGATCGAAGCAAAGGTGATTCCTTATATCACTGTTGGCGTGCTGTGTTTGTTTGACAGTTTTATTTTTCAGAGCATGGAAAAAATAACTATTTTGGATGAAGGTTACCTTTAAGAAACGAGCGAAAACGCAGAATTTGAAGCAACCTTACGGACTATTGTTTTGTGTTATATTTGTATATAATATCAAATGTTATATGAGAGATTGTAACGCGCCGCATAGGAATTGACAGTTCGTCTTGTCTCTTATCTTGCTTTCTGTTCTTGTTCATGATGTTAGTTTGTTCTTTTACAGGACAGTTATACATTCTTGCTTGCGCGATTCTGTCGAAATGTAATGTTATGATGTTTTGGTTTACAAAATAAACATTTAACGCATTAATGGAGTACATTCAAGCACCACACATAAACAAGCAGCAAAAATAACCCCGAATAAGTGTCCAAAATTATCAACCCCCGTGCGTGCGGCAACCCACCGTCATGCGGGCGCGCTGCGATACCGCTACGGCCCGCAACACCGGCGCCCGCTCGCTGCGGCGTGGCAACCCGCCCGCACGGAGCGAATCCCTGAGCAGGCGATCGCATCATGTTCGGCTGGTGATGCGTCATCCCGCATTCTCATGGTTGCAGCTGGCTCGGGAGATAAACTGTGCTCGTCCAAACTTGGGCCTAAAATACGACAGAGGTCAATGATGTGACTACCGGATAGCAGTCTAGCTTCCCAGAACACCATTCCTATGTACCCATACAGGGACCCGACCTTGTCAGAACTGATGAGGAGCTCTCCAGTTATGAGAGGTACACCCTAGCAAATCAAAAAATTCGATAGGTAGCACCAACGGAAACGTCAAACAAAGTGATTAACTTTTCAATACATCCACTGCAACACATTGGGAGCACACCACAAACAGTCAAAAATGGCTCAAATCTTGCAGAAAAAAACAGATTCACATCCAGACCACTAGGAAGTACTCTTTTCTAGTTGAGAAGACGCTTTGCTCTCCTTTCGTAAGCAATAAGTAGTCGAATGGCAAAACATGGAAAGGTAAAAACACAAGATAACGCAGCTACCTTGACCACTTCCAGAAGCGACTGAATCCTCCACTCGCATTCGTCCAGAACGAGACTCCGGTTTACGAAATAATCCTGAAGCGCTTTCATGAAGAAGACTAGAAGCAAAAATATACCAATCACAAAGCAGAGTCACAGTCACATGGAATCTGTAATTTGCTGATATGCCTAAATACAAACACCAATTTATGGAAGTGTTTGTTCGAGTAAATTCGAACATAAAAAAAAGATAGGACGAAAAAACTTTTTCAGCCATCGTTCGGCGTGATGCGCTAAAGTTGGCGTGAAATAAGTAACAATCCTTGTGCAATTACACGGCTGCAATATATTTCACGCCAACATTACTGTAAGACGCCGAACGATGACTGAAGAAGTAATATTGTTATTGTTGTTCGACGCAAAGCGATTCTGTATATTTGTGGAACATCGTTGCTAAATTTGAGTTGAAAGCATTTCTTTGAAAGTGATCGATATGATAATACGTTACAATTCTGGCAACAACAGGTGGTAGAATATCTGCTCGCTGTTCCTGTGAATTACGTCTTTCTAATTATAAATGATCCCCATTCGATCACCTTGAAATTTGTGCAACAATTACTCTCTACACAACAATGAGTCATTTTTATATCACCATGACCAATTCATCAGATCCATAGTCAATCAGTTGTAAATACAGCATAAAGAATGCATATGAGGAAAAGATATAGGTCAAAAAAAAGAAACCGCAGCAGAGAGATTGCAGATTATGGAGGTGAAATGCATCAGTATAAATTCAGCAAGAACCTTTAAACCTATAGAACCTATAGTATGAACCTATAAAAGAAAAGGAAGGAAAACAGAACAAAAACTCATAACCAGCATAGCAATTCGAGGGCTTTCTCGTATTTACCTACTTATCTAAATACACGTATACAATACAATCTAAGACACGTGAAATAAATAGGGAACATAAGGCTCCAAAGAATTAAGCTTAATGAAAGGTTTCGCAACAACGCGAATACGAAATTCGCTGAGAGAGATTACATTGAGATTATAAAGCGATGCAAGGTACAACAGATCGGTGGGACTAAATTTTTACAACATTGTCATTCCGTGTTATCCAATTTTCGTAAGAACGCATCACGTCGCTGATACTCGTCTAGGTCTTTTTCGGTTTGTCTATCGGGCGGGAGTTCCGTTCGCTTTTGGGTGAAACCGACTTCGCGCTGACTGACTTGCTCGACATTTTCCTAGAATCTAACGCCTTGAAAACGAAACAAAAATAGAAGAAATTCGCTTCCTTACCCGATTCAGAGTATTTTGCATGATGTCCTCCTTGCCCAACTTTATTTCTTCATCTGTGTGAGGTTCAGAAAGAGATAAGGAATCAAGTGAGTTTGTAATTCCATTAACGTCAGAAAAGACGGCTTTAACTTCGCCATACTGAAACTCATTTGATACACGAAGATACGGGTCATAAAGGCTCAATGCCCCCACAATGGTAGGTCGCTCATCGTGGCGTGGGGGTGACACTGGGTGTCGAACTGGATGCACAGCCGAGTGTATACTCTGGCAGGGTCTCCTAAGCTGTGAAGGAGTTCGACGTTTCCGGTCTCGGCCGGATGCCTAGCTAAGAACCGGCCATGCCAGATCCCCCGCCGTCTGGCTTCTTCTGGTCGCTAGGCGGTTCTCCCCGCTCCAAGCCCGGGGTCAGCGATCGCCCCGTGGAAGTCAAGAGTGGGCCTAGTAAGTCTGCTCTTGGAGAGAAACAAATTTTATTACTCAGACAGCAAGATACATCGGATCCCGCCTACGGCGCCGGGTGCTAGCAAGAACGATGTCAGGGTCTTAAAGCGCCTTTTGGATCCGACAAAAACGACACGTCTGCCCGGACGACACCTTATGGAGACTGCCTCATGCTCTGTACCTACAACGCCAGGACATTCTCCACAAACGCCGGCCTCTACGCTCTTCTGGACGCTGCAGAGCACATCAAGTACCACATCATCGCTCTGCAGGAAACGAAGTCCAGGAAGAAGGACGTGCGACAGATAAGTGATGGGACCCTCATCATTTGTAATGAAAAGGTTCCATCACAAAACGTGGGAGGCGTCGGCTTTGTCGTCCACCCATCTATCGTCCATCTTGTCGATTCGCACGAGATCCTATCACCTCGACTAGGCATCCTACGACTACGCCCTCCACATCAGAAGACCATCAGCATCATCAACTGCTATTCCCTAACATCAGCAGCTGACGGATCAGAACTAGATGCTTTCTACGAAGATGTGGAGGAGGTCGTCCGCAACGAGAAGTTCTTTTACAAGTTTGTTGGGCAACTTCAACGCGAAAATCGGGATGCTACTGGAAAGGGAATATAGGATCGGGAAGTTTGGATATGGGCTCCGGAACGAAAACGGCAACCGTCTTATTGGGCTTCTCTCCGCCGCACGACTTTTCCATGGAAGTTCCATCTTCATGAAGAAAGAACATCGCCGGTGGACATGGGAATCGCCCAATGGAACGACTCATGCAAAGGAGATCGACCACATTCTCACCAATCGAAGGTGGAGCTTGCTCGATGTCTCAATAGTTCCATCCTTCTGCAGTAGCTCCGATCACCGCCTCCTTCGAGCAAAGGTACGATTCAGTCGAAGGCTGGAAAAGAAATTTTGCCACAGTGCCGCAGGAAGGAAGAATGTCGTTTATGACGGTAACAGGCTGGAGGAGCTCATATCAAGTTGTAACTGGCCCATCGAGGAGGACCCAAGTACGACTACGACCGGCTTCTGAAAGGATTGCGAGCCTGCGGAGAGTGCGTCTCAGTGACTTCCGAGAAGAACATGGAACGCATTCCGAAGACCACCAAAGAAATGCTCGAAAGAAAAAGATTTTTGAAGCAGGATCCAAATGCAACCCATCTCGAGCGATTGATAGCCAACGCCAGTTGCAGAACAGCTTTGCAGGAGGATCTCAGGAAGTACAGACAGCCAAGATAATGGAAGCAGCCGTAGGAAGACGAAGTCTCAAGAAGTGCCGAAGGGACCTCTGTGAATATCACGTACCGCTGGCTGCACTATTGAACGAAGACGGGACTCCGGCTTTTTCCCGATACAAGATGGAATCTGTCGCGAAGAACTTCTATACCAACCTCTTCCGCTCATTAACACCCGTGCCAATGCCCGTTGTTCCCACTGGAGAAGTATCACCACGAATTTTACCTGCTGAAGTGCGCACAGCGATTCGGACCATGAAAACGTACGGCTCCAGGACCAGACCATCTTTCCGCCGAATTTCCGCGACCTGGAGGACAACGTGTACAAGAGATTCTCACGTCGCACCTAACATCTTACTTCAGAAGGAAAGGATTCCCGACCAATAAAGAACATCAAAACCGTCCTTCTTTTCAAGAAGGGTAAACGGGAAGATCTTCGGAACTACCGTCCAATATGCCTGCTGAGTGTGCTGTACAAGCTTCTCAGATTATTCTCGCTCGCGTATCTCGGACACTGAATGAAGCCCAACCCCAAGAACAAGCTGGATTTCGCATAGGATTCAGCTGCACGGATCACATCCAGACGGTTTCGAGGTTCATAAAAGTCTGCCGGAAGTACCGACAGCCTCTCGTCCTAATCTTCGTCGACTACGAGAAAGCCTTCGACAGCGTCGAAACGAACGCAATTCGGTCAGCGTTAGTCGATCAAGGACTGGACCCAGCTTACGTGAGGACACTAGCCGATTGTTATAAGGACTGCACAACAAAGATGCAGCTATTCCATCGCCCCCTATTCCATTTGGGAAGGGAGTCCGAGAAGGCGACACAATTTCGCCGAAGCTGTTCACCGCGGCCTTGCAGTGGGTGATGAAGTTACTGGACTGAGACGAGAGAGGCATACGAGTTCACATTCTTGTCGAACCTTCGTTTTGCGGACGACATCGTTCTCTTTTCGAGCAGTATCACTGAAGCAGAGACGATGCTGAAGGAACTGAACGAAGTAGGGAAGAAGATCGGATTGCGAATCAATTGGAAGAAATTCAGTTCATGAAGAACGCCCTTTACGAAGATGCAGAAATGGAATTGGAGGGCACCCCTATCACGGAGACGTCTTCTTACGTGTATCTCGGACGTTCGATGAACATGGAGAACAACTTGAGGGAGAACATAACAGGGGAAGAAGAGCAGCCTGGGCCGCCTTCGGGCCTCTGAAGGAAGCCACCACCAACTGACGGATCCGGAGCTTCGTGCCCACCTGTTCGACTCAACCGTTGTCTTGGCGCTCTGTTTACGCAGCTGAGACTTGGGCTGACACCGTAGCCACTTCGAAAGCTTCAAGGACCACCCACAGAGCGCTAGAGCGTACACTTCTGAAGATGACCCGACACAAACATCTCGTCGGACTTCGCAGTACGGATATGAGGAGAATGTCCCGTTTTCGTGACCGAGCGGATTACGTTGCGAAAGCGAAGCATCGATGGGCCGGTCACATTATGAGAGGAACAGACGACAGATGGACACTAAGAACATTTGAGTGGATTCCTCGCGAAGCAAAACGTCCCCGAGGAAGACCTCCAACGAGGTGGGCAGACGTGTCCGTGGAACGGATGGACTAGCTAAGAAATCAGCTAGACACGATTTTTGCACCTGGAACTCGTGGACGCAGCCACCGACATCAGCCAAGAAGATTGGATGTCTGAAGCGAGAGACAGGAAAAATGGAAACTTCTGAGCTGGGGCCCGCACGTCACGTGCAGCCGGGCCATCTAAGTATCTAAGTATCTAAGTAAAGGCTTAATTGCAAATAAGTAACATTGAAGAACTAGCCTTTAACATAGTACTACAAGATTTCAGAAATTCATAAGAAAAAACGACAGTAAACAGAAAGAACAAAGGTAGAAGGCACACCTTATGCAATGACAACAAAACTCGAACTAAAAATGTCCAATGTTTCTCTTTCAGTGGAAGGGCAAAACCATTGATAATACTTCCTGAACTATCAAGATAACATGGGTCTAGTACAGCTCTTCAATCCGTTTTATCGAAACAATGATCAATAAAGTGCGAAACAACTTTGCTAAACAGACTGACCTAAAATCTCT